AATGGGTCGTTTTTGTTGTGTGCGTGACAATAAGAAGATTATAAACACGTTTAATTAATAACTGGGAACAGTCTCTCTTCGGTCTGCATAATAGTCGGACCATTGCATACCAACACTTTAGTAATGACACATCACACACACACACTTAGCAAGGGGTAAATTAAGGTGAGTGGGATTACTGTATGCCAGCGAGGCAGCAACAGACATCCTACATTTCCAGATTAATCTGGTTGACCTTCCTCCATGAGGCTCTAGCAGAAGGACTTGCTTCATCCCTCCCTCCCCCTGTCTCCAACCATTCAGGTCTGGCAGCCCTCAGTGGTCCTGTCTCAGACTCTGGCTGTTCTCTCTCTCTCTCTGCTCTTCTCTCTTCTCGTTCCCTTTCTCTTTCTCTCTTTGCTCCTCTTTTCTCTCTCTCTCTCTCTTGGAATGTGTTAGCGAGCTCCACACAGCCTCTCTCTCTGTGACACCCATCCTTCTCTGTCTTGGGTGACGGAGTGAGGTGGCTGCCAGCCACAATTAGTAAATCAAATCTCATTTTATTGGTCACATGCGCTGAATAGTGGTGTAGATTTTACATTTACATTTTAGTCATTTAGCATACGCTCTTATCCAGAGCGACTTACAGTTAGTGAGTGCGTACATTTTTCATACTGGCCCCCCGTGGGAAACGAACCCACAACCCTGGCGTTGCAAGCGCCATGCTCTACCAACTGAGCTACAGGGGACCCTACCGTGAAATGCTTAATTACGAGCTCATTCCCAACAATGCAGAGTTAAAAAGTAAGAAAAATATTTCAAAACAAAGTAGGAAATAGTAACGCAATAACAATAACGAGGCAATATACGCTATATATACAAAGGTATGTGGACACCCCTTCAAATGAGTGGATTCTGATATTTCAGCCACACCCGTTGCTGACAGGTGTATATATAATTTCCAACAAGTCAGTTCGTCAAATTTCTGCACGGCTAGGGCTAGAGTCAACTGTAACTGCTGTTATTGTCAAGTGGAAATGTCTAGGAGCAACAACGGCTCAGCCGTGAAGTGGTAGGCCACACAAGCTCACAGAATGGGACCGCAGAGTGCTGTAGCGCATAAAAATCATCTGTCCTCGGTTGCAACACTCACTACCGCGTTCCAAACTGCCTCTGGAAACAACATCGGCACAAAAACTGTTAGTCGGGAGCTTCATGAAAGGGGTTTCCATGGCCGAGCAGCCGCACACAAGTCTAAGGTCAATGCCAAGATAGTCCCCTGTAGCTCAGTTGGTAGAGCATGGCGCTTGCAACGCCAGGGTTGTGGGTTCGTTTCCCACGGGGGGGCAGTATGAAAATGTATGCACTCACTTAACTGTAAGTCGCTCTGGATAAGAGCGTCTGCTAAATGACTAAAATGTAAAATGTAAGAGTCAGCTGGTGTGGTGTAAAGCTCGCTGTCATTTGACTCTGGAGCAGTGGAAACGCGTTCTCTGAAGTGATGAATCACGTTTCACCATCTGGCAGTCCAATGGACAAATCTAGGTTTGGCGGATGCCAGGAGAATGCTACCTGCCCGAATGCAGAATGCCAACTGTAAAGTTTTTAATGGTTCGGGCTAGGCCCCTTAGTTCCAGTGAAGGGAAATCTTAATGCTACAGCATACAATGACATTCTAGACTATTCTGTGCTTCCAACATTGTGGCAACAGTTTGGGGAAGGCCCTTTCCTGTTTCAGCATGACAATGCCCCCGTGCACAAAGCAAGGTCCATACAGAAATGGTTTGTCGATTGGTGTGGAAGAACTTGACTGGCCTGCATAAAGCCCTGACCTCAACCCCATCAAACACCTTTGGGATGAATTGGAACGCCGACTGCGAGCCAGGCCTAATCGCCCAACATCAGTGCCCGACCTCACTAATGCTCTTGTGGCTGAATGGAAGCATGTCCCCGCAGCAATGTTCCAACATTTAGTGGAAAGCCTTCCAAGAAGAGTGGAGGCTGTTATAGCAGCAAAGGGGGGACCAACTCCTTATTAATGCCCATGATTTTGGAATGAGATGTTCAATGAGCAGGTGTCCATATACTTTTGGTCATGTAGTGTACAAGGAGTACCGGTACCGAGTCAGTGCACGGGTACAGGTTAGTCGAGGTAATTGAGGTAATATGTACATGTAGGTAGGGTTAAAAGTGACTAGGCAATCAAGATATGTATGTATGTGTGTGTGTGTGTGTGTGTGTGTGTGTGTATAAATAATAAACAGTAGCAGCAGCGTGTGTGAATAGTGTGAAGGTGTATGTGTGTGGCGTCAATTTGCATGTGTATGTTTTGTGAGCGTGTGTGTGTGTGGCGTCAATTTGTATGTTTTGTGAATGTGAGCGTTGGAGTGTGTGTGAATAGTGTGAAGGTGTGTGTGTGTGTGTGTGTGGCGCCAATTTGCATGTATGTTTTGTGAGTGTGAGCGTATGTTGGAGTGTGTGTGAATAGTGTGAAGGTGTGTGTGTGTGGCTTCAATTTGCATGTGTATGTTTTGTGAGCGTGTGTTGGAGTGTGAGTGTGTGGGTAGAATCCAGTGAGTGTGCATAGAGCCAGTGCAAAAATGATAATAATAATTATTATTATTATTAAGGGGGTCAATGTAAATAGTCCGGGTGGCCATTTCGTTAACTTTTCAGCAGTCTTATGGCTTGGGGGTAGAAGCTGTTCAGGAGCCTTTTTGTCTCAGACTTGGCGTTCCGGTACTGCTTGCCGTGCGATAGCGGAGAGAACAGTCTGACTTGGGTGGCTGGAGTTTTGACAATTGTTAGGGCCTTCCTCTGACACCGCCTGGTATAGAGGTCCTGGATGGCAGGGAGTTCGGACCCGTACACGCTACCCTGGGCCGTACTGGGCCGTACACGCTACCCTCTGTAGCGCCTTACGATCGGATGCCGAGAAGTTGCCATACTAAGCGGTGATGCAGCCTGTCAAGATGCTCTCAATGATGCAGCTGTATAACTTTTTGAGGATCTGGGCCCAAGCGAAATCTTTTCAGCCTCCTGAGTGGGAAGAGGCATTGTCGTGCCCTCTTCACGACTGTGTTGGTGTGTTTGGATGATGATAGATCCTTAGTGATGTGGACACTGAGGAACTTGATGCTCTCGACCCTCTCCACTACAGCCATGTCGATGTGAATGGGGGCGTGTTCAACCCTCCATTTCCTGTAGTCCACGATAAGCTCCTTTGTCTTGCCCACGTTGAGGGAGAGGTTGTTGTTGTTGTCTCCCTCAACGTTCCTGTAGTAGAGAGATTACCCACAAATCAAAGTATTAGACAGTGAAGACACAGTCAGTATTTGAAGAGTTTTGGGTATTAGTCTCACTGCATGGCTCGATCTCCTCTCAAGGAATGGGAACAATAATACCGTCAGTTTAGCTGGCATGTATATCTATCTACTGCCATAAAAGCAGCAGTGTGAATTGAAACAGAATTATTTTTCTAAATCTAGTTAATCACTCCAGGCTTTAACCTCCTACACAACATAGTAAAATGGTGATGCCATTCTTTCTCCTCTCCACTCCTTGGAGCTAACAGCACCTGTGACCAGGTGTGAAGAGTTTTGGCCTAGAGTGGAGAGCGTTCCGCCTCGTGCCCTTGCCCTGTTCTTCCCCTGGCTCATGTAGTTTCAGATTCAGAAAACTTTAATGTCCTCAGAGAGGCAATAAAAAATTAAAATTAAAAAACACAACAAATATATCAAAGGATGTTTACAAGCAAGTAGGTTTGGTAAGTGCAATTTCATAATAGAAATGTCAAAATGGGCTACATTGCAAGTGCTAAAGTGCAATTAGTCCAACATTTTGTTAAGTTGCAGAATTGCATTTGAAATAATATATATATTTTTACCTTAGGTAGTCTGTACCTGTGGCCAGAGGAAAGGAACTGGAATTTGGGGTGGAGTGGGTGGAAAGAGTCAACCGCTATTTTATTTGCCTTCTGGAGGGCTCTGCCCAGGTAGAGAGATGACAGTTCTTGTTGTTCCTGCCCCATGATTTTTCCGCAAGTCCTGATTATCTTGCCCAACCTATTTTTCTGTGCAACCTTGATATTCTCAAACCAGCAGGTCAAGCAGTAGGACAGAATGCTCTCAATGAATGTTTTTTTTTTTTTTTTAAAGAACCATGATGGTTAGGTCAACATTAAGAAAGTTCAGTAGGAAATAGTCTCTGTTTGCCTTTCTTAAAAATAGCGTCAGTACACTGATCTCAGGACAGCTTGTTGTGAATAACTAGACCAAGGTATTTGTACTTCTCCACTATTTCGATGGCCTCACCTTTTATCAGTGATGGTGTGTGCATGGTTGTGTTCCTTCAAAAGACAATCCCCATGTCCTTTGTTTTTGATGCGTTTCATTTTAGAGTTTTAGATTTAGTCAAATCATTCAGAGCCGGTCCTTGCTCTGTCTCATCCCCTTCGAGGAGACTGACCATTTGATCAGGTGGCAGCCTGGGAACTGGCTCCAGTGTTTCAGGACACAACCACTTATGTTATCAGTCCCCAGGCTCTTTCATGCTCCAGTGCTTTTGAACACTTGTTGTACGACTTCCTCATTGATGACAAACGCACTCTTGGTTGCCATGACGTCCTCCTCCAGACAGGCTGGGAGAGCGGGGCCGCCCCTTGCTTCAAAGTGGGTGAAGAACTTGTTTAGTTTATTGGCTGTAGAGAGTAGAACCGTCTCGTCCGTGCAGGAATCGAGAGGTTGCCTCCCTTTTAAAGGTGGCGTTTGCCATATTCTTAATGCTATTCCAGGCAGACCGAGAGTCTCCCTGTGACAGTGTCTGTTGCACCTTATCCTTGTACTGGCATCTTGCCATTTTTATCTCTTTGTTCACCTCTCTCTGTACCTCCTTTCTTTCGAGTTACGACAGTATGAATGAGAAATATAAGCATACTGGTGCAAGCGCTGGTCAAAGAGTATGGCTAGGATGTTTTGAGCCTGTGTTGTTCTGGTGTCTATATGTCTGACAGTCTGTTTCCCTCCTGCAGGGCCTTGTACACATATGAGGACAACAGCAATGATTTGACACTGGCATCATCAGGAGGTAAGCTGAATCTACCACATATTTGTCCATCCATCCATCCATCCATCCATCCATCTACACTCTTAAATGTGATGTTTCTTTGTTGTTTCTTTGATTAAGCCTTTACACTCAAGGGAATTGGCCTATATAGTTAGTATGGCCGGGGTGATACTAGTGTGGGAATTGGCCTATATAGTTAGTATGGCCGGGGTGATACTAGTGTGGGAATTGGCCTATATAGTTAGTATGGCCGGGGTCATACTAGTGTGGGTATTGGCCTATATAGTTAGTATGGCCGGGGTGATACTAGTGTGGGAATTGGCCTATATAGTTAGTATGGCCGGGGTGATACTAGTGTGGGAATTGGCCTATATAGTTAGTATGGCCGGGGTGATACTAGTGTGGGAATTGGCCTATATAGTTAGTATGGCCGGGGTGATACTAGTGTGGGTATTGGCCTATATAGTTAGTATGGCCGGGGTGATACTAGTGTGGGAATTGGCCTATATAGTTAGTATGGCCGGGGTGATACTAGTGTGGGAATTGGCCTATATAGTTAGTATGGCCGGGGTGATACTAGTGTGGGAATTGGCCTATATAGTTAGTATGGCCGGGGTGATACTAGTGTGGGAATTGGCCTATATAGTTAGTATGGCCGGGGTGATACTAGTGTGGGAATTGGCCTATATAGTTAGTATGGCCGGGGTGATACTAGTGTGGGTATTGGCCTATATAGTTAGTATGGCCGGGGTGATACTAGTGTGGGAATTGGCCTATATAGTTAGTATGGCCGGGGTGATACTAGTGTGGGAATTGGCCTATATAGTTAGTATGGCCGGGGTGATACTAGTGTGGGAATTGGCCTATATAGTTAGTATGGCCGGGGTGATACTAGTGTGGGAATTGGCCTATATAGTTAGTATGGCCGGGGTGATACTAGTGTGGCGATACTCATTAGTATCGTGGCAAGGAACAAAACACAAAGCAGATTTAAGTTCTTTAGGAAAACAGCCCTAATGTTACAAACATTATTATGTTGTCATCCAGAGTCACATTTATTTATCTTTATTTTACATACAGCAGGTTTTTAAAGGGACACTTCAGGATTTTGGCAATGAGGCCCTTTATCTACAGTGAGGGAAAAAAGTATGTGATCCCCTGCTGATTTTGTACGTTTGCCCACTGACAAAGATATGATCAGTCTATAATTTTAATGGTAGGTTTATTTGAACAATGAGAGACAGAATAAAAGAAAAAAAATCCAGAAAAATGCATGTAAAAAATGATATAAATTGATTTGCATTTTAATGAGGGAAATAAGTATTTGACCCCTCTGCAAAACATGACTTAGTACTTGGTGGCAAAACCCTTGTTGGCAATCACAGAGGTCAGACGTTTCTTGTAGTTGGCCACCAGGTTTGCACACATCTCAGGAGGGATTTTGTCCCACTCCTCTTTGCAGATCTTCTCCAAGTCATTAAGGTTTCGAGGCTGACGTTTGGCAACTCGAACCTTCAGCTCCCTCCACAGATTTTCTATGGGATTAAGGTCTGGAGACTGGCTAGGCCACTCCAGGACCTTAATGTGCTTCTTCTTGAGCCACTCCTTTGTTGCCTTGGCCGTGTGTTTTGGGTCATTGTCATGCTGGAATACCCATCCACGACCCATTTTCAATGCCCTGGCTGAGGGAAGGAGGTTCTCACCCAAGATTTGACGATACATGGCCCCGTCCATCGTCCCTTTGATTCGGTGAAGTTGTCCTGTCCCCTTAGCAGAAAAACACCCCCAAAGCATAATTTTTCCACCTCCATGTTTGACGGTGGGGATGGTGTTCTTGGGGTCATAGGCAGCATTCCTCCTCCTCCAAACACGGCGAGTTGAGTTGATGCCAAAGAGCTCGATTTTGGTCTCATCTGACCACAACACTTTCACCCAGTTCTCCTCTGAATCATTCAGATGTTCATTGGCAAACATCAGACGGGCATGTATATGTGCTTTCTTGAGCAGGGGGACCTTGCGGGTGCTGCAGGATTTCAGTCCTTCACGGTGTAGTGTGTTACCAATTGTTTTCTTGGTGACTATGGTCCCAGCTGCCTTGAGATCATTGACAAGATCCTCCTGTGTAGTTCTGGGCTGATTCCTCACCGTTCTCATGATCATTGCAACTCCACGAGGTGAGATCTTGCATGGAGCCCCAGGCCGAGGGAGATTGACAGTTATTTTGTGTTTCTTCCATTTGCGAATAATCGCACCAACTGTTGTCACCTTCTCACCAAGCTGCTTGGCGATGGTCTTGTAGCCCATTCCAGCCTTGTGTAGGTCTACAATCTTGTCCCTGACATCCTTGGAGAGCTCTTTGGTCTTGGCCATGGTGGAGAGTTTGGAATCTGATTGATTGATTGCTTCTGTGGACATGTGTCTTTTATACAGGTAACAAGCTGAGATTAGGAGCACTCCCTTTAAGAGTGTGCTCCTAATCTCAGCTCGTTACCTGTATAAAAGACACCTGGGAGCCAGAAATCTTTCTGATTGAGAGGGGGTCAAATACTTATTTCCCTCATTAAAATGCAAATCAATTTATAACATTTTTGACATGTGTTTTTCTGGATTTTTTGTTGTTGTTCTGTCTCTCACTGTTCAAATAAACCTACCATTAAAATTATAGACTGATCATGTCTTTGTCAGTGGGCAAACGTACAAAATCAGCAGGGGATCAAATACTTTTTTCCCTCACTGTACTTCCCCAGAGTCAGATGAACTCATCGATACCATTTTTATGTATGTGTCCAGTATGAAGGAAGTTATAGGTAGTTTTGCGAGTCAATGCTAACTAGCGTTAGCGCAATGACTGAAAGTCTATGGGTATCTCCTAGCATGCTAGCAGATACCCATAGAGCCGGAGGAGCGCATATTAATCCTGCTGTAGGTCTGATTGCGGTCAAACGAACGACTAAAATGAACGAGTCACAGCAGGTCAAATGAACAACTAAAATGAACGAGTCACTCAGAAAAACAAATTATGACACTTGACTTAGTAAAAAGAGTCGTTCAAAAAGAACGAATTGTTTGCGAACTGCTCATTACTACCACCCGCTTGTTCAATTGCCAAAATGACTAACTAAGTGTTAGGCTTTCACAAGGCAATTGTAATTTTGGTGCTTATAGAAAGGACTCATGAGTGCATTTAGGTACGTGTTCTGTGGCAAATTGCTTGCTATGACATCAAAGCGGTATTTATTATAATCCTCAATGTCTCATCTTTCAAAATACATAGTCCTCTTAATTTACAGCATTTCCCTCACTCGGACAACACAAATATGGCAAAAATTGCCCAATTAGGGGGAGGGATGGGGCAACTTCTTGTCACGTGCGGTGCTCAAATCCAGAACATTTGTCAGTCAAAACCCATACAGCACTGTGAAGTACAGAGCCAGAGCTCTGACGTCATGTATAGCATGTTACTACCACTGCGTTCCAATTTAGGCGCTTATCAGTGCCCAAATCTACCATTTTCAACCCGTATACAGGTACGAGTATAAAGGGCTACACTACTCTCTCTGCCTCTTGCCTTGATAACATGTATTGAGATGGGGAAAGAGCCTGCCATTGACTTATAGTGACTCTTTGTCTGGATGGGAAATGTCGCAGTGGCATACTTATTAGCTTTGAGGCCTCCATTGAAAGTGAGCCAGCCATTGTTGTCCATGTTAAGATGATAACTATTTCATTAGTTAGTTAGTTATTATGCCTGTTAATGAAAGTGATCCATATCTCAGATACACAGAACAGTACCTGCTGCTTTGCTCTCACTGCTCTGTTAATTATGTCTGGGAGAGATGCTGATAGGTTGGCCTTGTCTTCTGAGATCTACTATTTTCCCTGGTGGAGGCTTGGAACAATGCGCGCACACACACAGAGTATGATTTAGTGCAATGTTTGTGGAGAGGCAGACCATCAGTCATCCTATTGGTGTACAGTAGGTGGAGTGGGCGGGCTGGACCAGTGAGGCCTCACTCTGATTCGACAGATGGGGTTTGAGTATGTTTGTGAGTGTGTGATGCTGTTGGTGGCAGCTCTGTTTACTTGCATAAGAGTAGTCAGGTTTGAGTGTGGTATTTGTCTCATCATGACCCTGTGAAAGACGCAGGTGTGTGTCTCCACTCCCCCACCTCACTTCACACAGTCAGCTGCCTCGCCATCTCAATAACTTTACCATAGATTAGATTTTAATATTTCAACAGCGCATTGCTACAGTTGACTGGAGGTTGCCTATTCTCTGTGGACTTAAGCCTGCCATACTAGCAGACTGCAGCTCTCCTCAGTGTAAGTCATGGAGAACATGCATCTGCCCACCAACCAGCCAGAACTGTCACTATCAAGCTATTGAATGATTCCATTGGATGGTAACAGTGAGGATCTTATAGGGCAGAGACCTGCCTCTGCCTGGAGCAGAGACTGAGTCAGGGGGTAACACTCAGGTCAGCCTGGAGAGTGGTATCGGTGTGTTTTTGTGGAAATACTGCACATCTCCATCATCTGTTTTTTCTCCTCTTCCTCCCTTTTCTACCTCCTCCTCCTCCCCTCCTCCTCTAGCTGGAGGTCTACCAGAGATCACAGTGACCTTCGACAATGGCAGGGTCATGTACGGCTTCTGCAGCCTGAAGGAGCCAACGGCCGCACTGCCGCGCTACGTCCTCATCAACTGGGTGAGTCGTGTGTGTGTGTGTGTGTGTGTGTGTGTGTGTGTGTGTTTCACAATGAATAAAAATAAGAAGAACATGAGAAAGTAAATGGGGAAGTAAGTACAGTGGGGGAAAAAAGTATTTTGTCAGCCACCAATTGTGCAAGTTCTCCCACTTAAAAAGATGAGAGAGGCCTGTAATTTTTAAAAAAAGAAAAAAAATCCAGAAAATCACATTGTAGGATTTTTTATGAATTTATTTGCAAATTATGGTGGAAAATAAGTATTTGGTCGAAAAAGTTTCTCAATACTTTGTTATATACCCTTTGTTGGCAATGACACAGGTCAAATGTTTTCTGTAAGTCTTCACAAGGTTTTCACACACTGTTGCTGGTATTTTGGCCCATTCCTCCATGCAGATCTCCTCTAGAGCAGTGATGTTTTGGGGCTGTCGCTGGGCAACACAGACTTTCAACTCCCTCCAAAGATTTTCTATGGGGTTGAGATCTGGAGACTGGCTAGGCCACTCCAGGACCTTGAAATGCTTCTTACGAAGCCACTCCTTCGTTGCCCGGGCGGTGTGTTTGGGATCATTGTCATGCTGAAAGACCCAGCCACGTTCATCTTCAATGCCCTTGCTGATGGAAGGAGGTTTTCACTCAAAATCTCACGATACATGGCCCCATTCATTCTTTCCTTTACACGGATCAGTCGTCCTGGTCCCTTTGCAGAAAAACAGCCCCAAAGCATGATGTTTCCACCCCCATGCTTCACAGTAGGTATGGTGTTCTTTGGATGCAACTCGGCATTCTTTGTCCTCCAAACACGACGAGTTGAGTTTTTACCAAAAAGTTATATTTTGGTTTCATCTGACCTTATGACATTCTCCCAATCCTCTTCTGGATCATCCAAATGCACTCTAGCAAACTTCAGACGGGTCTGGACATGTACTGGCTTAAGCAGGGGGACACGTCTGGCACTGCAGGATTTGAGTCCCTGGCGGCGTAGTGTGTTACTGATGGTAGGCTTTGTTACTTTGGTCCCAGCTCTCTGCAGGTCATTCACTAGGTCCCCCCGTGTGGTTCTGGGATTTTTGCTCACCGCTCTTGTGATCATTTTGAGATCTTGCGTGGAGCCCCAGATCGAGGGAGATTATCAGTGGTCTTGTATGTCTTCCATTTCCTAATATTTGCTCCCACAGTTGATTTCTTCAAACCAAGCTGCTTACCTATTGCAGATTCAGTCTTCCCAGCCTGGTGCAGGTCTACAATTTTGTTTCTGGTGTCCTTTGACAGCTCTTTGGTCTTGGCCATAGTGGAGTTTGGAGTGTGACTGTTTGAGGTTGTGGACAGGTGTCTTTTATACTGATAACAAGTTCAAACAGGTGCCATTAATACAGGTAACGAGTGGAGGACAGAGGAGCCTCTTAAAGAAGAAGTTACAGGTCTGTGAGAGCCAGAAATCTTGCTTGTTTGTAGGTGACCAAATACTTATTTTCCACCATAATTTGCAAATAAATTCATTAAAAATCCTACAATGTGATTTTCTGGAATTTTCTTTCTCATTTTGTCTGCCATTGTTGACGTGTACCTATGATGAAAATTACAGCTCTCTCTCATCTTTTTAAGTGGGAGAACTTGCACAAATGGTGGCTGACTAAATACTTTTTTCCCCCACTGTATACTATATACAGGGTCAGTCAGTTCCAGTACTATATTTCCAATGTACAGGGATACTGGAGTGACGGAGGTAGATATATATAGGGGTAAGGTGACTAGTCATCAGGATATATGATAAACAGAGTTGCATTATATTTTTGGTCAGTATATGTCTATAAATGTGTGTGTGTACAGTATATGTGCATCTCTGTTTGCCTTTATGAGTATACACTGTATGTGTAGTGTCACACAGGCTTTCTCTCTGATTGCCCAAGCCCTCCTTCCTGTCAGTGTGAAGCTGAGAGGAATAGGAGCTCAGGCAGTCTGAGACAGCCTAATGGGCTATCTGTCCCTATCCTTGTGGCAGGCCTAGGCCCAGACATCCCCTCTGGCTACTGGTCTCTGTCACAGAACCACTCACCACTCTGCTCTGCACTGACCCATATACTGTAGCACACAGCAGAATGACAATCATGATTTAAATTTGCAGTAGCTATTGCTTTCCTCAAGTCACAATGTAAAGGGTTTGATATGGTAGCTAACTCATACCACATACAGTATGAAGCACCCATACATGAAGACTGGACTAAATTGCATGGGATAAGTATACAGCAAATTGTATAATGTATTTGTCACAATAGAGAATAGAGATGAAGGGAGGGATGGAGAAAGAAGGAGAGATGTTCGACTGGCCCTATAGTGAGATATGGGTTATCGTGTTCATTATTGCAACCCTCCATTTTGGGTTCCTTGTAATTCTCAGGCACTGCATTTGCCCATAAACTCCCCTCTCAAACAGGAAACTGAAAATATGTGCCATTTTCTTGTTGTCTTTATTATAAGTTGTGCTTCTGAGTGGCGCAGTGGTCTAAGGCACTGCATCGCAGTGCTAACTGTGCCACTAGAGATCCTGGTTCGAATCCAGGCTCTGTCGCAGCCGGCCGCGACCGGGAGACTCATGGGCGGCGCACAATTGGCCCAGCGTCGTCCAGGGTAGGGGAGGGAATGGCCGGCAGGGATGTAGCTCAGTTGATAGAGCATGGCGTTTGCAACGCCAGGGTTGTGGGTTCGATTCCCACGGGGGGCCAGTATAAAAAAAAAAAGATGTATTCACTAACTGTAAGTCGCTCTGGATAAGAGCGTCTGCTAAATGACTAAAATGTAAATGTAAATGTAATAAGTTCTAAGACGTGATTTAATAGTAAAGTATTCAGAGCAGTTCTCCAGAGATATTTCATTAACTAGGTGAATGGCCCTGAAATTGCTATTATTTGACCAATTATTGTATTATTTTATGATTCTGTAGCAGCAGTACCAAATCAGTAGCCATGTGTTTTTATGATTGATAACTATTCCACTATTCTTTTTATGTAATCAGTGGCCATTGTGTATATCTACTGTTGTTTTCAAAAGGCCATGATAATGTCGTCCTACCAGGAATTTTCCTTTTGAGGAACAATGCTTCATTCATTTACTACTGTAAAACTGAACACAAAGACACCAATTTAAAGTTGAATACAATTCTATCTTGAATCCTTAAACACACAAAACAATACTTTCAATGTCACTACTTTGATTGATTGATTGATTGATTGATTATGGTGATTATATCCTTGAAAGGGGTAATATACAGAAACTCTAACCTGCCTTTCCTGTCTTCCCTCTTCCACCCCTTCCCCCATTTCCCTCCCCTCTCCCTCTCTGTCCTCTCCCCTTCCCCTCTCCCTCTCTGTCCTCTCCCCCTCCCCTCTCCCTCTCTGTCCTCTCCCCCTCCCCTCTCCCTCTCTGTCCTCTCCCCTCCCCTCTCCCTCTCTGTCCTCTCCCCTTCTCCTCTCCCTCTCTGTCCTCTCCCCTTCTCCTCTCCCTCTCTGTCCTCTCCCCTTCTCCTCTCCCTCTCTGTCCTCTCCCCTTCCCCTCTCCCTCTCTGTCCTCTCCCCTTCCCCTCTCCCTCTCTGTCCTCTCCCCTTCCCCTCTCCCTCTCTGTCCTCTCCCCTTCTCCTCTCCCAGGTTGGTGAGGATGTGCCTGATGCCAGGAAGTGTCAGTGTGCCAGCCATGTGGCCAACATTGCAGAGTTTTTCCAGGTCAGTCTCACTGAGGTAAACCCAACTGCTACACTAAGACTCTCTCTGACACATTGTTGAAACTGTTTAATAAAACTTACCTGGATTACTAAATTAAAACATATTGGATGTCTGATGAATGCCATCTGCTCCTCTGTCTCAGAGTAGGAGTGCTGATCTGGGATCAGGACCCCCTGTCCATAATCTAAAAAAGCAAACTGATTTCCTACTCATTATGAATATGGGCCTAGATTCTCCTCCAGGGTCCTTCAGTGGTGCTCATTTAATGACTTAGATCTAAAATATGGAGAGAGAGACTGTATTGGCATCTACCAGCCCAGCCAGCGCAGAGGCCTAGGGCCATTTTAGCTTCCTATTGAGATTCAGCTCGGTGCTCTCTGGGTATAGGAGTGATTCCACTGGTCCGCCCACAGGATCAGTAGAGGTTATGTGTGTGTATATGTATGTATGACTAACACAGCACTCTCTAAGGTTATTGTGAACAAGGTGCTTGGCGGTAGTAGACAGATAAATGACACTTCTCTGCCTTTTATCCATGGTATCTCCTGAATATGTGTGGGAGAGATGGAGATAAAGAGCAGAGTCTTTCTCCTGACTGTGAAGGCCATGGAGCTGGAGGAATCCTGGCTAGCAAGCCTCAGTCAATTGATGTGAAGTGTCAGTCATCTTCGCCTTAACAGCTCTTTTCTGTGGCCATCTGCTTGCTCACACTGACGGCTCTGGCCTTCGATTTAATGTGGGATTAGCTGGTTGAAAAGGCTTTAGTTAGCTGGGAGACACAAACACTTGTCAGGTACACGCACAGGCAGGCAGGACACACATGCAGACAGGCAGGCAGACACGCACATACACACATTTACATACACACAAACACAGGCAGACATGTAGGTAGGCACACGCCACAGTCCCTCTGTTTGCTGTGTGTTTGAAGATGAACCAGTGTATGGTTTATCCTGTCTCAGAGATCATCCTTACACACACACAACAGGATTCCCACAGCATCACTCTCTCTCCCACACACAGAACAGCCATTTTGATCTGTGTGTCTTCTATATTCCTCTGTTTTCTGGGAACACGAAAATGCAAACCAGTTTTGTGTCGTTGTACACTGAGTGTACAAAACATTAGGAACACCTGCTCTTTCCATGACAGACACTGACCAGGTGAAAGCTATGATCCCTTAGAGGAATAGGAGCTCAGGCAATCTGAGACAGCCTAATGGGCTATCTGTCCCTATCCTTGTGGCAGGCCTAGGCCCAGACATCAACTCTGGCTACTGGTCTCTGTCACAGAACAACCGGTGCGCCTGGTACCTACTACCATACCCTGTTCAAAGGCACTTAAATATTTTGTCTTGCCCATTCACCCTATGAATGGCACACATACACAATTCATGTCTCAATTGTCTCAAGGCTTAAATTGCCTCACCTGTTAAATCCATCAGTGTAGATGAAGGGGAGTAGACAGGTAAAAAAATATTTTTTTTGACAATTGAGACATGGATTGTGTATATGTGCCGTTCAGAGGGTGAATGGGCAAGACAAAATATTTAAGTGCCTTTGAACAGGGTATGGTAGTAGGTGCCAGGCGCACCAGTTTGAGTGTGTCAAGAACTGCAACGCTGCTGGGTTTTTCACGCTCAACAGTTTACCGTGTGTATCAAGAATGATCCACCACCCAAAGGACATCCAGCTGACTTGACACAACTGAGGGAAGCATTGGAGTCAACATGGGCCAGCATCCCTGTGGAACACTTTCGACATCTTGTACTCCATGCCCTGACGAATTGACGCTGTACAGAGGGCAAAAGGTGGTGCAACTCAATGTTGGGATGGTGTTCCCAATGTTTTGCGCACTCGGTGTATATGTGCATGATATTAAACACTGTTTTATGTATTTTAGCTTCAATTCATAGTCTGGCATGGAGCACATACGCATTTCTCCCTCACCCCTCTTGACCTCCTCTCTTGCATCCTCTTAGGCCATCTCTGGCCTCCCACCCTCTATTTCTCCCTCCCTCCCTCTCTCCATGACATAACCACTTTTATCCTTCCAGCCATGTGTTCTGTTGCTCTATAGCTGAAGAGTGATGTGTGTGTGTGTGTGTGTGTGTGTGTGTGTGTGTGTGTGTGTGTGTGTGTGTGTGTGTGTGTGCGCACACACATTGCCCCAATCAAAGGTTGTCTGAGGAGGCCTGTGCCCTGTAGTCTGACACTAATAGAACCTCTGGGATCTTGCTCCTTTTACCGTGGGATACCATCTCACACAATCAATTTAAAGGGGAAGGGTATACTTCCATTGAAGGGGCGTTTTTTGCTTTTCTGCCCGCAGGGAGTCAACGTCATCGTCAATGCCAGCACCATGGACGACATCGAACCATCCGCCATCGGACAGAGACTGACCAATGGGACGGCTTTGGTGGCCAGCCCCGTCCTCAGCCGGCTGAGAACCAGAGAGGAGGAGAACGGAGAGCATGGAGTGGTACGAGAGAGGGGGAGGAGAGGGAGAGAGGGAGGGGGGGGGGGGGGGGTGGAGAGAAGGGTTTAAGGGACAGAGTGACAGAGTCTGGCAGGAGAGGGGAGCGGGTGTTACGACTGAGGTCAAAATAAGTTGTCTGTGAAAGAGCTCTCTATTAGTGTGATGTGTGACACAAGGCCACAGCCATGTTACTATTTTAGAGGAGAGGAGAGAGTGGGGGAGAGAGAGGGAGAAATTGAGGGAGGGAGACGACAGGGGGAGAGGTAGACAGAAAGAGCAAGAGGGGGAGAGAAAGAGAGGGAAAGAGATGATGAAGAAAGAGATGGAGGCAGAGAAAGCGTTGGAGCGGGCCTCTGAGAGCGAGGCATTGTTAATGTTTAGGAACTGAGACAATAGGCCTTACTGTGTGTTATAGGGTTAATAAGGAATGAGTCACTCAGCTGGACAGATAGCAGGCTCCTTCCTCATTCTCTCTGTTTATCTGGACAGAACTGAACTAGGACGTTAGGCTAGCGCTATGCTAAAGGGACATTACATTCTAATAAATAATCTAGAGCGTATTGTTGGCAAAACATGACCACATGTTGAAGCAAATAACAAGAGCTTGAAGGTTGAGATGACACTAACGAAATGCACTATATCATGTGTTTTTTACAATGCGGAAGGCTGTTCTAGTATTCAACACGCTTAGTGTCACACTGGCACTTTTGAACAGGCTACCTTGTGGATAGCATCTACAGTGCCTTCAGAAAGTATTAACTTTTTCCATGTTTTGTTGTTACAGCCAGAAATCATTTTTATTTTTTTTCTGTAATTTTAGCAGATGCTCTTATCCAGAGCGACTTACAGTTAGTGAGTGCATACATTTTTCATACAATTTAAAATTGATTACATTTAGATTTTGTGTCACTGGCCTACACACAACACCCCATAATGTCAAAGTGGAATTATTGTTTTTAGACATTTTTACAAATTAATTAAAAGTAAAAAGCTGACATGTCTTGAGTCAATAAGTATTCAACCCCTAAATACGTTCAGGAGTAGAAATGTGCTTAACAAGTTGCATGTACTCACTCTGTGTGCAATTATAGTGTTTAACATGATTTTTTAATGACTACCTCATCTCTGTACCCCACACATACAATTATCTGTAAGGTCCATCAGTCAAACAGTGAATTTCAAACACAGATTCAACCACAAAGACCAGGGAGGTTTTCCAATGCTTTGCAAAGAAGGGCACCTGTTGGTAGATGGGTAAAAAAAAAAAAGCAGACGTTGAATATCTATTTTTATCATGGGGAAGTTATTAATTACACTTTGGATGGTGTATCAATACACCCAGTCACTACAAAGATACAGGTGTCCTTCCTAATTCAGTTGCCGGGGAGGAAGGAAACGGCTCAGAGATTTCACCATGAGGCCAATGGTGACTTTAAAACAGTTACAGAGTTTAATGGCTGTGATTGGAGAAAACTGAGGATGGATCAACAACATTGTAGTTACTCCACAATACTAACCTAGATGACAGAGTACAGAATAAAAATATTCCAAAACACTAAAGTGGCACTAAAGTAAAACTGCAAAAAATGTGGCAAAGAAATTAACTGTATGTCCTGAATACAAAGCGTTATGTTTGGGGCAAATCCAACACACCACGTTACTGAGTACCACTTCATATTTTCAAGCATGGTGGTGGCTGCATCCATTTTGAATTCAGGATGTAACATAACAAAATGTGAAATATGTCAAGGGGTACAAATACTTTCTGAAGGCACTGCACCTTTTTAAGGCCCTTACCTAAGGGGTTCAAGTACAGGCTGTACTATTCTCTCTGTATCTGAATCATAAATCACTTAGTGCTTTCTCTGCTTGTAATGGAAACGACCCGATACTCCCCCTGATATAGAAGTTAAAGTTGTATAACTAATATAATTTATACCCCGGCAGTGGCGTACAATAAATGATACGGTGTGTGTGGAACAGAAATATGACACTATATGTCTAGTCTGACCCTGTTGGTTACGGGGTGGTGGGGTGGAATAGGATTTGGAGGGCACAGAACTGTGTGTGAGTGTACACATGGCTTGGCTCTTTTACTAATGGTTGTAACCAACCACTTCCTGTTCCCTTCTGCTCTTTCCCTATTGGACGAATGTTCAGGGCACCGTGTACACCAAGACCAATGCAGAGATCGAGATGAAGAAGATCAATAGAGAGGAATTCTGGGAACAAGCCAAGGTAGGAAAGAACATGATTTCAGGAGGGAGGAAAAGCGGGGTGGAAGGAGGCTGGGGGGTTTGACCGGGACAAGGACTCTGGAAACAAGAAGAGCAGAGCAGCAGTGTTATTTGTTCTTCTGTCTTTTTTCCTCTACCTTTTCCTCAGACTAGTAGTGATGGCATGAATAGCGGTTTCAATTTGAGTGTGTGTGTGTAGAAGTAGGATCAAAACAAAGTCAAACAATGTTCCCCTTCTTCCTGAAGCGTTGCCACTAGCCAATAAGACAAACTCAAATGCGATATGACATCAACTGCTGTCTGTCCTTTAGGTTATTTGAATTTGAATCATTGTGAGGGGGCGGCTTTGCCCTCTACAAGTTAGACTCGACTCTGAAATGCAACTTTATCTGAGTAGATTTCAATCTACAAATTGCCTGTTGATTTTGCTTCCTCTCAATAGGACCAAAGCCAAATGTTCTGTTTTGCATTTCAGTCATTGATGTTTTGTGATGTAGTGACTAATTCAAAGTGATTATTGAAGTATTTCGATTTTTTTTCTTACATATTTGATTGTTTTTGACAGGACAGATATAAGTACAGATATGTAGACCGATATAGAGAGGGATATAGAGGGTCTCAACCCCGTCGCTGAGGGGGCATACAGTGAGGAGGAAAAGTATTTGATCCCCTGCTGATTTTGTACGTTTGCCCACTGACAAAGAAATGATCAGTCTATAATTTTAATGGTAGGTTTATTTGAACAGTGAGAGACAGAATAACAACAACAAAAACACGCATGTCAGAAATGTTATAAATTGATTTGTATTTTAATGAGGGAAATAAGTATTTGACCCCCTCTCAACCAGAAAGATTTCTGGCTCCCAGGTGTCTTTTATACAGGTAACGAGCTGAGATTAGGAGCACAATCATAAAGGGAGTGCTCCTAATCTCAGCTTGTTACCTGTATAAAAGACACCTGTCCACAGAAGCAATCAATCAATCAGATTCCAAACTCTCCAACATGGCCAAGACCAAAGAGCTCTCCAAGGATGTCAGGGACAAGATTGTAGACCTACACAAGGCTGGAATGGGCTACAAGACCATCGCCAAGCAGCTTGGTGAGAAGGTGACAACAGTTGGTGCGATTATTCGCAAATGGAAGAAACACAAACGAACTGTCAATCTCCCTCGGCCTGGGGCTCCACGTAAGATCTCACCTCGTGGAGTTGCAATGATCATGAGAACGGTGAGGAATCAGCCCAGAACTACACGGGAGGATCTTGTCAATGATCTCAAGGAAGCTGGGACCATAGTCACCAAGAAAACAATTGGTAACACACTACACCGTGAAGGATTGAAATCCTGCAGCGCCCGCAAGGTCCCCCTGCTCAAGAAAGCACATATACATGCCCGTCTGATGTTTGCCAATGAACATCTGAATGATTCAGAGGAGAACTGGGTGAAAGTGTTGTGGTCAGATGAGACCAAAATCGAGCTCTTTGGCATCAACTCAACTCGCCGTGTTTGGAGGAGGAGGAATGCTCCCTATGACCCCAAGAACACCATCCCCACCATCAAACATGGAGGTGGAAACATTATGCTTTGGGGGTGTTTTTCTGCTAAGGGGACAGGACAACTTCACCGCATCAAAGGGACGATGGACGGGGCCATGTACCGTCAACTCTTGGGTGAGAACCTCCTTCTCTCAGCCAGGGCATTGAAAATGGGTCGTGGATGGTATTCCAGCATGACATTGACCCAAAACACACGGCCAAGGCAACAAAGGAGTGGCTCAAGAAGAAGCACATTAAGGTCCTGGAGTGGCCTAGCCAGTCTCCAGACCTTAATCCCATAGAAAATCTGTGGAGGGAGCTGAAGGTTCGAGTTGCCAAACGTCAGCCTCGAAACCTTAATGACTTGGAGAAGATCTGCAAAGAGGAGTGGGACAAAATCCCTCCTGAGATGTGTGCAAACCTGGTGGCCAACTACAAGAAACATCTGACCTCTGTGATTGCCAACAAGGGTTTTGCCACCAAGTACTAAGTCATGTTTTGCAGAGGGGTCAAATACTTATTTCCCTCATTTAAAATGCAAATCAATTTATAATATTTTTGACGTGCGTTTTTCTGGATTTATTTGTTGTTATTCTGTCTCTCACTGTTCAAATAAACCTTCCATTAAAATTATAGACTGATCATTTCTTTGTCAGTGGGCAAACGTACAAAATCAGCAGGGGATCAAATACTTTTTTCCCTCACTGTATGTGGTCCGGAAGTCGGAAGCTTAGACTACTATACCAGACTCCGGCACGGTTATTGAATTATTAAACAAATAATGCAATATATTTTTCTGTTTTTTGTGTGTACCAGCGTGAAGAAGAGTTGAGAAAGGAGGAGGAGAGGAAGAAGGTTGCGGAGGAGAGGCAACGCTTCGAGGAGGAGAGAATGGAGCTGGAAAGGAAAGAGCAAGAGGACAGAGAGAAGAGGTACCGCGAGAGGGAGAGGCAGATTGAGGAACACAGGTGGGCCGCCGTGTCTTATGGGTAATGTGAAGTATCACTGTAAACTCTTGTGATTGGTCCATGTGGTAACTGTGTGTGTGTGTGTGGGTGTGGAGCAGAAAGAAGATGCAGGAGGAAGAGGAGGCCAAAGAGAGGACACGGAACCAGCCCCTCATAGTAAGTGTGTGTCAGGGCTGGGGTCAATTTGAATTGAAGGCTGTCAAAATTCAAAAATGGAAAAGCTTTTGACATAAAGAGTTCCATTTATTGAGAAGTCATTGAAAACAGATTGTTATTTATGTTTACTTCTTGAATTCATACCATAGTAAGAGTGTGTGTGTGTATTTGTACTCTTTAAGAAAGTGTGTGTGTTTGTATAGTAACAGAGCATGTACTGTATGCAAATTCTCTGTTCCGTGCCAAAGAGGGTCTTGCCTTAGTTACTGAAAGAGGCAGTCTGCTTTTAGAGATAATTTCTGATCAAAATTTGAGACTAGTCATTGATATTGTCTGGGGAGAAAGATTAAGAAGAATCAATAATTAATTTCCTGTTTAAAAAAATTCAACTTTAATTCAATAGTAGCATCAACATTAATATTTTCAGCCCTGACACAACATGAAACAATAAGGTTTATTCTCCAAATATTGTATCCCACAATGTTTTCACTTATCTCCTTCCTCTTACTATTCCACTATAGCCACTGTTATTTTAAGACTAACTTCCTGCGAAAACAATACTTCTGTTTTCTGAACACTGAACATGCCTGCTTGTATGTCTGTGCTTCTGTAATGGCTGCCATGCAGTGATAACTTAATTATGTACTAATATGGTTGTATGAAATGGAAGACATATTTTATGCTTCTATATTGTGGTTTGTAGACAATCATGCTGCAATCCTTCTAGTGGTGGATGACATCACTGTGATTGAAACATGTAGGCTCTGCTGCACCCTGCTGGATAGATATAGACGATATAAACAACTATACTCTCTCCTTGTATACCGCTCTCTCTCTCTCTCTCTCTCTCTCTCTCTCTCTCTCTCTCTCTCTCTCTCTCTCTCTCTCTCTCTCTCTCTCTCTCTCTCTCTCTCTCGCTCTCTCTCGCTCTCTTTGCAGTCAGCAGAACCTAGCTATGAGGATCTGGAGAAAGAGAAGAAGGAGACTGAAGTGGAGGTGGGTTGAAAAAACATAGCATACAAACACTGCTACTACAAAACACAAATACACTGTCCCTGGTCACTGAAATGACTGATTTGTTGTACTATAGCCTACTTTACCTTGCCATGATATATAAGATTGTGTGTCCCACTCCTCTCCAGTGTTAGTAGGTTGAGACCGAGAGTAAAGTACATTGTATCTGTATCCTAGACTTATGGCCTGCATATGTGTGTCATTGTGACAGTAGCACTCCTGGGCTTTGGATTTGTGTTAGTGGGACAACTCAGGCTACACTAGGATGTGTCTCTGACTCTGTGTGTAAGAGAAATGCTGGGTGAGAGTGTTTGTGCTCTTGCGTGCTTTTGTGGTGTGAGTGTATTACCTATGTGTGAAAAGTATCTCACAGTGGTGTGTGTGTGTTCTGCTTGTCTAACGTTGTACTGTATGTCTGTCTGTTGACAGGAGGCGAAAGCCCTGATTGCCCAGCGGGCGGACAATCCCAGGGAGTTCTTTAAGCAGAAGGAGAAGGCTGTGGCCACTGGTGTGGACGTCTCTCCTGTCTCTATCCACAGGGCCGGTAAGACCGGAGGGAGGGAGGGAGGGAGGGAGGGAGGGAGGGAGGGAGGGTGGATGGATGTCTTTGGGTCTCCCAAACCACCATTCGTCCTGTCATTCACCTCGTCACCTACCTCAGTCCCTGTACTGTACTGTGTGTCACCAGTGTGTCTGTTATCACTGTATGGTAGTGGACAGAGTCCTTTGGACCCAGACACCTGGATATCCCACAGAGATCTAGAAGCCAGGAGAACAGTTGGAGTAGAATTCAGATGAAGATGCGGAGTAATCCAGTTGAAGACAAAGAGGAAGATGTAGGTGGAATATGGAAGAAGAGAGACAGATTCTCTAGCAGTGTTCCCTTGCAGACTACATAGATACGGATAACAAGTGGCTCAAAGGAGCTGGATGGAAACTGGAAGAAGTGCCTGACTCAGTGAGGCTCTCCATACTGAAGAAGACAACACACTGTCTCCTCTCCACCTGCAAACCCAAGCAACCAAAGAATCTCCCTGAAACAATCTGTTTTTGTCAAGAAACAGCATATTTTCATAATGGACCATAGCCTCTGTGTTCATTCCAAGTCCATCTGAAGATACTGAACTGAATCCATGTTCAGTTCCTTTCTCCATCATTAATGAGCTTGGTGCAAAAGAACTGGGAGAGAAAGATTTTAAAAAAAAAATAACAGTGCTTCTCATTTCCACTACGGCACACTTTGTCCACAGTGTGTCAATATCACAATAACAACTCTCTTTCTCTCTCTCTTTGACCTCACTCCTTTGGTTTGATTCATGGTTGTGCGTCCATTTGTCTTGTCGTCTGCCTCTCCATTCATCCACCCATCCATCCGTACATTTTATTCCTCCGGTGTCTCCCTCTGTTCTTCCTCCGGAACCTCTCTTGGGTGTCTCCTCTTCTCTCCTCACTAATGGGTTTATATGGGATCATGCCCATTCCCCCACAATCCTTCACTTCTCACGGGGATCCTCTTGGGCCTAACCTCGTTTTATCTTGACTTTCTCCTTCCTGTCTTCCTCCTACTCTCCCCTGTCTCTCTCTCTCCTCTGTCTCTCTATCACCCTCTCCCTATCTTGTCTTTCCTTATCCTCCCTGCGTCTGTATGTATGTGTGCGTCGCTGTGTGTGTGTGTCGCTCCGTGTATGTGTGTGTGTCGCCCCCTGGGCCCTGTCTTTTGTCAGGCCGTTTGGACAGCCCGTTACCAGGCCGTTTGGACAGCCCGTTCTTGAAGCAGCAGCACAGTCCCAGCGAGCCCAGTCCGCCCCCCCTCCGCACCCCGCCTCATGCGAGGCTGCAGCCCGCTGCACCCGGTAGGTACTGGACAGGAAGAGGAGCAGGGAGGACATGGAGAGCCCCCCACCCACCCTCACAGGACCACAGTAGAGGACACTCACCCCAAATCCCACTCTAAAGCTGCTGTAATAAACTCGGCCCCCTCTCCTACCCCATCCTTACTTACCCCTGCTAGCTCAGAGGACAACTGTTAGCTAACCTGGGCCTGACATGCTCTATTCTATTTTGAGTCCTTGGCGAGACTGAAATATACATCTCCATGATAAAGTGGACCATGTTGGGACTGTCTGTAGGAGATGGGTGTCTGTGCAGTGTGCTAAAACCCACAGTGCCCTGTGCTAAAAGTCCTCCCGGTGTTATGACAGATCCTGTGTCTGTCAGTCAGCACTCTCTTGGTTTGGCCTCTTTCAGTGTGCTTTTAGTTGTCTTGCTGATGATGGCTGTTTATATCAAAGAGCTGTGTCGATCATGGCCCTTAGTTCTCCCTGCTATTGTCTCTTATATATCCTATCACAAATTAATCTTAGTGTGTTCGGGTAGGTAGTTATTATTATTATCTTGTCAACGGCCTCAAGTCTTCCATCCCCTTCACACCAATGATGTTTACTCCATTATTCTTCTCGGTCACAATGTTTATATGTTGTCCACTGAGGTCTGATCTTTTATCCAGGGGTTGTGGGGATGGTAGGATGGTTAGTCATAGTAAACCATATTGGGCAGGTTTTCACCTGGAGGAGAATTGGAGGAGAATTATCCAAACCTGTATACAGTAGGTTCCATGCTCCATTATTTGTTTTGGCGATCTCACTTCGTATCCACCTTTACCCCCTTCTTCTTACCCCGTTTCTGCTCTCATGCTACTCTTGATGGACTGCGATGCTCTGCTCCACCCGTACACACATACCTCGCGTACCTCCTGAACTATAACCTGTGAGTGTGTGTGCCGTCGTCGTCGTCGAGCTGCTCGTTCAGTTGTGTTGCCCATGGTCACTGGGCTTGTGTTGTGGGCCCTGTGTGACCATTATGGATGTTACCTCTGACCTATGTGGAGTATTGTACTGTAACTGTACTGTGTCTTTCTCAATGTTGTGTGGTCTGTCTGTGAAGGCAGCTCTGGTAAGGGTGGCCAACCAATTCTAACTAGTTCCAACCAGTTCCTACTAGATCCAACCCCCCAGCTAAGTCATAAAATGTGTTTTACTGCAAATGGATTCCTATACCACCATGAAATTCAGCCTGAACTTTTCACCTCTGCATGTGAAATATTGCTCCCCTTAAATTGAAACTGTGTTTATAAATGGTTCAGCTTTGATGAGGACAGGGGACAATATCCTATCCTCCTCTCTTCTCTTAGTATTTAAAGACCCCTAGATTAGTAGTGAAGTGGGAAGACCACCCAAGCAAGATGCTGCCGTCACTGTATATCATCAACAGTCATGTACAGTCAGCCATCTTTATGTCCTGTTGCTCCCAGTCACAGTGATGTTGGTCATTATCAATGGTTTGTTGGTGCTTTGGCTCTTAGTAATCACGAGCCCATTCTGTTATTGTGTTAGCTGTTCCTGGTCTCAATTGAATTGAATTGAAGGGAATTGTGTTTGGTGTATCAGCCTGTATAATGTGCTGTGGTTTATTCTTTAAGTGGATATTAATTGTCTCTCATCGAGATTCGCCCTCCTCAGGTCAAGTCTCCAGGGTCATTCTTTGCAATGTGCATACAGACAGCAGAGAATCACTAGCTGACTCCAAAACAGATTTGTCCACAAATCACTTAATGTGTCCTTTTAATGGACAATACACACATCCACAATGTACTGTATACTGGGGCATGGTTAAATCAGTCAAAACATGTAAACAAAAAATAATCATCCACAAAGTATTGCTGCTCTCAAAGGTGAATTCACTGTTTAGATCAAGACAAACAACATCACCATGAAGATCTGAGGGTATTTTTGCTCAAGGTGTTGAAGATGCCCCTAACCAAAGATCAGCTTACTTTACCTCCAGTCCTATTCATAATAATTGGATGTTTGACCTGTATCAGTGGTTAGGGGGAACTTCTACCTACAGTACTAATTGAAGGCCATGTAGTGTATTGTAGTGGAGAGAAGATATAGCCCATATGGAGTAACTGTTGCTGCAGCTCATGCATGGGAATATCACTGTTGCTGCTGCTTACTTACAGCTATATGCACATATGCCTGCTGGGAAGGACCCACGCTTCACCGCCGCCAGTGAAATCACCCATGCGTCACATGATCTCATCCCCAGCTGCATTTGTGCTTCAGCAGATATACTCTGACACAGCTGCTGTTGCACCATTGAAGTCGCTATTGAAATGATTAACCACACCATTGTCATCTTCAGTGTGAAATTGAATTCAGTGTTCAGGCTAGCCTGACAGTGCTTATTGTGACCATTGGTGGTATTTCATTGTGTTCATGATGTAATTTTGTGGTGGCATTTTGACTGTGTTTGGTATTCGGTTGTTTGGTAACATTTTTGAAAGTGTTGTTGATTTGATTGTGTGGTGGTGCAGTATTTCTATTGTGTTGGTGATTTGATTGTTAGGTATCATTTTGATTGTGAATGATGGTATTGTATGATGGTGATGTTTGGTGGTGATTATGGGAAGTTGTGGTGGTCTTCCCTCTCGATGTGTGTTGTCTGACCTTCCTCCTCCAGATGGCGATGATGAAGGGAGCTCAGACCGCAGCATGGGGACGTCCCCAACGCCTATCCCTAAAATAGTCACCACACCCATCCAGGAGGCAGAGGACGACAGCCGGAACGAGTGGGGTAAGACTGGACAGAGTTCAGTTATACTGGGCAAGACTGAGGGCCTAACAAAGACTTAAATCCTTAATTTCTGTTTAGGCTACTTTGTAGCTAATGTTAGCATTTAAAGCTATTGAAAGCCCTGGCCCTGTTGGCTATCATTTATCCCATACAAACAAACACAGATCACACACACACACACACACACACACACACACACACACACACACACACACTGGGACTGTGTGTTTTCCCAGGCCTCATTTGCCTTCACAGATGGCTGGGCTTGCCCTGCTCATGTCTCTAGGCCCCAGTGGCACTCTGATACATATACTGTAGACTATGGGGTATTGTGTGTAGATTGATGAGGGGAAAACAATGTTTTAATCAATTTTAGAATAAGGCTTTAATGTAACAAAATCTGGAAAAAGTCAAGGGGTCTGAATACTTTCCGAATGCACTGTACATTTTACGGACACAGTATATTTTACACTAATTATATTTTGTTTGTTTTTAGTCCCATCCTTTAGCTACCCTCAACCCCTCCCATCTATCTCTGAAGACCATCCAGTTTTGATTACTATTTGCCATATATTTTTAACTGTGATGTTTCACAAAAGTTCTGAACCTATATACATTTTACAGACACAGTATATTTTACATTTAGTTATCTTGTTATTTTTAGTCCCACCCTTCAGCTCCACTCAACCCCTCCCATCTATTTCTGAACACCATCCAGTTTTGATTTCTATTTGCCATATTCTTTTCAACTCTGCTGTGTGTGATGTTTTACAAAAGTTCTGAACCTTTCTATTCTCATAGTTTCTACAGATTGTAAATTAAAGATAAACATTTTTGCTAAGAGTATTATTATATTATTGATCGATTGAGTGTGGCTTTTCAAATCCCCCAGCAGTGCTATTTGCGGAGTTAGCTCCAGGTAAATGTTGCAATTCTTCAGCTATTCCTGAACCTGCGACCAAAAACAAGCTACATATGGACAGTACCAAAACAAATGATCTAATGATTCTGTCTTTTCGCAGCAAAATCTGCAGAGCTGGGGTGGTTGTATCCCCCATATATATAACATTCTATTGGTTGCATGAATTTTGTATAATCATTTAAATAGAAAAACTCTTAAGTTTTGACTCTGGTGTCGTTTTGTGTATCAGTTCATAAACCATGTGCCATGGAATAGGTACATCAAAAATATCTTCCCGACTATTTTGCAATCTGTCAATTTCTTTGTCCATAAATTAAACTGGTATACTTTTTTATTTATCACAATTTTCTTTAACCAATTTTGGTCTTTAATGCAGGGCCAACAGACAAGTTCCTTACTTTCTCCCCCTTCCGCTTGCCGCTTTCATTTATGCGGTAATGCTGTAATTACTTGGTTGTAATTTTGGGTAGAGCAGATGTTTCAATATATGAGTTTAACCATATTTGTTGTATTATTTGTTCTGTCTTTTCTGGTGGATTAAACTGAAATTGCAACCAACTTGTTTTAAAAAAGTATGATCTTTGGACTGTTTCACTTTGTCTCCTATCAGGGCTTATTGATAACAACTTTTGACTGTTATCAATAACATTCCCCCTCCTCCCTCTCTCCCTCCCCTCCAGGTGAGCCCAAGCAGCAGCCAGGCCCGGTCCAGGAGTCCACCCCCACCAAACCCGTTCAGAGCGTGGCCCCGCAGACCCGCCCAGACTCCAAAGCCCCTTCCTCAGCCTCAGATGACTACGACCCCTTCTCAGGCTTCAGGCCCCTTCCCGCCCCCACCGCCGCAGACCCCCTGGTCGACCTATGGGACAGCAGTCCTGCCACAGGCTCCACCCCATCTCAGGCCCTGCCCCCTGGAGGGCGAGTCGAGCCCCTGCTGAGCTTCGACGAGATGGGGGACGTACCATTCTGCCCGGCGGGCCCCGGGGGTGCTGAGGACGAGCCCTCCAGCCTGGTGGATGTGGCTGGGACCCACGATATGACCCTGAGCTACCAGCATGCACTGCAGCATGCTTCAGATGACACTCAGCTGATGACCAATGGGGAGACGCTGCTCAAAGAAGGGACTCAGGTCATTACAACATATTACATGTCTTGGCAGAACTTTACATTATGTTAGCCTTATGCCAAGTAGTTACTTTGAAACTACTTTGATAACCAGAATGTAATTAACATTGAACACATTTTCCTGAATTTCAGCTTGAATTTCATATCATGTAGGGTTTATGACTTGTTGTGAATTGTATACTTTGTATGCCTGTATTGAATCTCTCCTTTTTCTAAAGTCATAATAGTATGTGCCACAAGATGGCAGTAAATGCATTCTACAGCAGCAGTAGTGAGTGCCACTGGTTACCTAGGAGAGAGAGGATGGCAGTCTGTTCTGTGTTCCTGATATGGAACAAAGACTGACACACAGAGATACACTAACACACACAGTACAGTACTGGATTATACAAATTGCCCCAAGATATCCCGTACTGTACATGCAGTATTTGTTTGAACAGTGTGCCCTTGTGATGGCATAGCTGGAGGAAAATGTCTATATGCTGAGACAATACTGTTATTAACTAATCTGTCTGTCTGTGTAGGCGAGCGAGGGCTACTTCAGCCAATCGCAGGAGGAGGAGGACTGCTCTGCTAAAATGACCCCAACGCCAGTGTTTTATAACAAGCCACCAGGTGAGAGAGAGCGAGAGAGCATCATGTCAGGATTAAGCCTAAAAATAACCTTCCTGTCAGAAAGATGTGAGGAGGGGGATTATTCTGTTGGAAAAACATCATTATATGAAAAAGCACCAGCCTGGCTATCTGCTTCTGTATTCAACTATGTTCCATTGGTAGTTTGTTTGGCGAAGTCAGAAACACATTGTTATTGTTATTTAAGAACTGCTGTCACACTTCTTTTTGATTTATAATGATTGTTACAGTATGTGGTTGTTTCTGCCCCCTTGTTTGACATATTGTAAGACACACTTGATGAAAATACTAAAGTGTGTGTGTGTAAAGATTGACCCAGTGGATTTGTGGAGCTTTATCTATGCACTGTGTGTGTGTACAGAGATTGACATCACGTGCTGGGACACGGACCCTGTAATGGAGGACAGCGACTAGACGATGGTGGAGTAGTACGGTCCGGTGGAGGGAAGTAGAAACAACGCATCATCAACGACGAAACTGATTTTTTAAAAAGTAATAATAAGAAGTCTTGCATAAAAAAAAAAAATCGGTATAATGTTCTAGAATAAAACAAAAATGTTAGCCACCGAAAAGGTTGTCAAGTTATTGTTAGAGATGCTAATTGGTTGATGATGAGCTCTTGTTTTTTTTTTTTTAATGTATTTCTTAGATTTCTCCTTATTTGCTATGCAGAGTAAATAGCAGGGAGTGGGAACTACTTTATTGCGTACTTATATACACAGCTCAGTAGCGCATGGCTGTGTCTTCTACAGCAGACTATGACCCCTGTACCAGACAGGTAGCCTATTAGAAGGTAGAGCAAACCCTATTGTGACCAATCACAATATTCCTACCACAGCCCCCCCCCACCCCTCCTCTCTCCCCCAACCCTGGGCCCCACCTTCCACCCTCCCTAGTGCCAAGAGTTGCTTCCGCTCTGGCCCTAGCTTTGGCCCTCTCCCCTGAGGCCTAGGGGACCTACCCCCACCCCCCATTCTGGGTAGCTAGTTGGGGATAAAAGTGGGTACGGTGCCTGGGGGAAGGAAGAGGGGGATCCGAGAGGAAATGGTGCCAAGTGTAATCCTGAATTGTTCAATGTTTCAGATTGGCCATGGGGCCTTACGCGTAATCCACTGTGGGCAGATAGAGGGGGAGAGGGGAACCAGACAAAGGTGTGGTCGACATCATACTACAGGCTGGGATAGCAGTACTATTGTACTATACCATAGTAAAACCCTAATATATACTGTACACACAAGGGAGGTATAGCAAAATACTTGTTTGTGCTGTGCCAAGTCACTTTGAAAAGGAATATCTATCGTAGTTTCTTAGCGTTGTGTTGGTTGGCTTACACACATTTTCCCCTAGTCTGATTTTCTGCTGGGAGAGTATTAGTGCTCTCCCAGCAGAAAATCAGACTAGAGGAAAATATATTTTTTACGACCTATTAAAAGTGTACTAGAAATTAATATTCAGGATCTTTGAATCATGGCAATAGCTGTAGTCTCTTGTTTTGTTACATCTCCAGTGAAAACTAGGCAATAACTGTATCTAGAGTACTCAGATGGGAACGAGGACATTCGTCACACGTTGTGGCACTATGAACGGAACAGTGTGTCTTGTGCGAAGGTGGTTCGAGAGCTGCTACAGTAGTCACTGCTTTGTAACACTACATCCTTCTTTGCAGTAGACACAAATTCACTATTTTGCATTCCATCTGTTTTAATTTCCTTCGTCCTTCTTCTAATATGATGTAGTTCACATACACGCCCCTTGATGGCCTCAGAGGCACTGTTTTGTTCACTGTTGTAATTATACCGTTGGACTATGTGTTGTTTTTGCACAGGTCTCATTCCCTGCTCGACTCTCACCCAGTCATCTCAGTTCTGATTTCACCCATACAGTCTAAATGAGAAACAATCCAGTGGACTAGCTTCCCCAGTAGGCCTTAGAAATGCTTTTGATCATCAAGACTCATTATACTCTTTATTAATGCTTGAATGTTTAGAAAATATTATTCTTGATGCAACCCCCTCCACATGGCTTATAGACTGTCTTCCCCAGTCTTCCTTTATTTGATCTAGAGGTTGTTTCTTATCATTACTGTTCAAGGATAGTTTCATTTCTGAGATTCCACACCTCAGATCTGATTCTAAATCAATCCTGTCACAGTTCTATATTGTTCTCTCTATGTTCTTACCACAGAGTTCTGAGTGGGAACCAGCAAGCAATAAGAAGAAAAAAACAATGTAGTATTTTGTCCTGTAAATAGCGTTTGATATTTAGTAATATACAACTAATGATCGACTAACACTTTTTTTGTAATTGTGGCCCTTATTATTATGATTATGACACTTTGAATTGAGGCTTGTTGTGGGATTGAGTGAGATTTTAAAATGAAATTTCTTTGAAGAGAGATTTGAAATGTGAGTTGTGGTGGGATTCCATATCCCTCGCAGCCTGTTCTGTATATGAGAATCAGCTAATGCTTGGTAAGAGCTGACCAACCCGCATCTTTAGCAGTAACTGACACCATTTCCACATAATTTCAATGTATACTTCTTCACCCTGATAACCTCCTGGGTAGTGATTATTATTCTCTCCCTATCGCACTACTAGGAGACTACTACTCTACTACTACCCTCTTCGTCCCAAAGCAAGGATTAGCTGTTCCTTGTCTTAACTCTCTCTTTTCATTTAAAATATATAAATAAAAAGATTCTTCCCTCTTTTCCGTCCGCTTCTCACACTGTTTTTTAAATAAGCGCAAGATCTTTTGTGACATGCTAAATGCTGATGTATGTTAATAAAAGACTTAAAAAGCTCCAAACGATGACTTAAGAGTGTTTTGATTTGAAAGTTTTTCTTTTTGTCCCCTTTTCCCCAATCCAATGCATCCTTGAGTACTTAAATATTATCATGACTTAAGGAGGAAGTGCAGAGGGAAATGCTAGAATCATAGAATTAAATAGAACATTAGAATGAACATTGGCATCCCCACAACGTGACTAAAATGACATCCATCTTGGTCAGGGAATCTTATAGCATATATTGTAGGGTAGAAGTTCACGTTTTTTAAAAACATTTAAATTATCTTGCAAACAAATATCTCAGTCTTCGAAACAGGTATGATCATGAACACAAAACATCCAACAACATTGAAACACAAGTCTGTCAAAGCCACTTGCCATGTTTGTTTTTAATCTATATTTTTATTCAACTGCATTTCATTAAAGAGATGTTGGTACCATTGACTTAGTCATAGTCCAGGTATGGTTCTATGAAGACCCCTTCTCACAGGTATACATGGAGCACATAGGTTATGTCCCAAATGGCACCCTATTCCCTATATAGTTCCTATGGGCCCTGGTCAAAAGTAGTGCACTATATAGGGAGTAAGGTGCAATTTGTTTATGCATTCCATACAGTACAGTAGTAGCAGCAGATGTAGGAGTGACTAACAGAGAACTGCTCCTGCAGTCAGACGTATAGAGAACACTTTGCATGCTATATGTTGTACGGACATTCACAGCGGAACAGGTATGTAGTTGTGAGGAGGTGTCAAAGAGAGTCCATACTATGGCAGGGCCACGTCCTACTATAAGCCATATCAATCTGTAGCATGTCTGGACCGATATGCTACCTTGGATGCTAAATAAATGTCTGTTTGAATTCCTCAAATGATGGATATCTCACAGTGATGTCAACCCAATGTTAGAGGAACGGTCCATTCTATCAGGGCATTTTATTGATCTCCTCAAAATGGCTGCCACATTGCCAGCTAGACAGTTGATGAACCCGGGTCACAGAGGTGGAGGACTCTTCTTTGTATCTGTACCGTTAAAGTGTCTGTGACAGCATAGGCAGAGCCATTGAGGCAATCTCCATTTTGAAGTAGTACATTTTCTTCTTCACGATTGCTTGAGCCCTCCTGATAACCCAGTTGGACATGACTCCAACAGGGTCACCAGGATGGACCAGCCAATGAAATTGGAAGTCCCACCCAGTTGACTACATTAAAGTGGTGGAAGCCCTCAATGGTGCTGCCCATGCTAATATGGCCTTTTGGCCACTAGAGGCCTCTATTATTCTCTATGATACGAGTCCAGTTCCAACTGTGTTGAGCGACCCCTGGGTTAGGAGATGGGAAACTCTGTGGATGTCAGTCATCAGACACTACTGACAGTCCCAGTCCCACACTAGTAGCTAGAAGTTTACACCTCTGTCTTTTCCTTCTGTGGCGGAGGAGAGGAAAGAGAAAATAAACAGTTGTACAATGAAATAAGCGACTGGAATCAAGGCATGACAGTTCAGAGGCAGTTGTCAATCAATCAAGAAGACTGTGACAAGTTGTGTGATTTAAACAGACAAAACATTTGGCAAAATAATATTTAACATTACCTCTCCATTCAAGGATGGATAGAAACACCTCAAATGAAATAGTGTTCATTTTCAGTTACACTTATAGCATGAATCAGTACATTCAGGGGCCATGATAATCAGCTTCAATTGATTGTTTTGAGGGTTCCAAAAAGAAAAACTCCTAAGCTCTCAAAATGATTGTCTAAATGCAATTGTATGCTGTAAAAAAAAAAAAAAAAAAAAGAAGAAATCTGCATCTGAAATAAACTTAATGGACCGCCTCAATTTTAGGTTTTCACAAGACAACCAACTACCTTAATATATAAATAAGTGCTTTTGTCGAAGTGAACCAAGGACAAACTTTGACATTGCCCCTCGCTTCAAACTGCAATACTTTTTTTTTATCTCTCAGTAATAACATCTCTATCTACAGGAATGGCCTCAAGTAGCTCTCTCTCATGCTCTCTTTCCTCTCTCTCACCCCTTTCGCTGTCTCCACCCTCCTTTCTCTCCCCTTCCGTTAGATACTGTATGTTCCCTACCTCCATATTTGTATGACCTGTTGTGCCCCATACTGTAGGTGGTGGTGCTCCTTGGATTGAAGACCTCCAATCCAATTCCCTAACTCTAGCGTCCTTGAGGACTGAACCAAGCTGACAAGCTTCCTAATTTGTCCAAGCATCTCAAGGGTGCTGCCAGGTAAGCCCATCAAATTCTCCATTAATTTCAATGGTTACATAATGTGATTGAATTGGGTTACATAACAGCTAATAACAAAGAGGTGGACCTTGGTGGATAACATGGTTCCTAATAGGCTGAGCAGGGTAGTAAAGGGGGTACGTATTGGATAGATACAGAAGAGGGAAATACTTTGGCCTTGAGGCAATCAACACACTATTGTCCATATCTCACTCACATTTTCCCCATGATTCTTCTGATTCGATTTCCCCCCTGCAAAAGCATCTGGGGCAGGATTGTGCGATCGAAATGTGAAGGTAATTTCAGATTAAGCCAACATATGCAGGGTTTACCGTGAATGCAGTCTCCGCTGACGCGGGAACATTGCCTTTAAATGTTAGCGACTTACAGTTAGTGAGTGCATACATTATTTATTTTTATTTTTCATACTGGCCCCCCGTGGGAATCGAACCCACAACCCTGGCTTGCAAACGTCATGCTCTACCAACTAAGCTACATCCCTGCCAGCCATTCCCTCCCCTACCCTGGGCCAATTGTGCGCCGCCCCACGGGTCTCCCGGTCGCGGCCGGCTACGACAGAGCCTGGATTCGAATCAGGATCTCTAGTGGCACAGCTAGCACTGCGATGCAGTGCCTTAGTCCACTGCGCCACTCGGGAGGTAATCACACTGTAATGCTGATCTTCAGCGCTACGAATTGAATTCAGCGCTAAATCACACTAGCTCTGAAACATAAAAAATATATATTTCTAAAATATAATAGGTTGTGAGTGACAAGGAAAAGCACTTGTTTAAAGCGTAACCTCCCTGAGGGTGTATGCTAATTATGCATTCCTTAATGTGAATTATTCTATTTAACACTTCTGCTTCGGCACTAGGCTAGGGCTCCTCGTCAGACTCGGCGAGATGGAAATGACTAGCGTTTAGTGTTTTCCAAAGCTCTGCTAAGAGGAGCTGTCTGAATGTCATTCAAAACACCAGTGGTACAGAGAGAAGGGGTCAGATATCATGAGAGAGTGAGAGAGAGAGAAAACCATGAATAGCAAAACAATATTTGAGGAAAAAAAGAACAAAAATCCCATCTCTGCAATTGCTGCATGGTGATGGATTTGCTTTGCTACCATGACGGATTCAATTTGCTGTGATGGTGTCTGCTGTGTGTACTGTAGCACCCGCATGGCAATGTGAAGGAGTGTCTCACAGTCACATCTAGCCTGATGAGTAGCTTGAGATGGAGAGGGAGGGATGAGGTAAGGAGAGAAAGAGAGAAATGGATTTACAATCTTGATGAAACGCTTCCCTGATGGACAGATAGCGACGATTAGGAAGTAATTTACAACCCAGAGAGGGAGAGCGAGAGAGAAAGGAAATCTTATGATTAGCATTATGAATTATTTATACAAGGGTTTCAATTCTTTGGATAGAGGGAACTTATTCCTGCTGGAAAAATACCACTGTCTCCTTTTGTACTTGATTGGACTAATGATTTAGGAGCTAGACCACACACGCACAACCATACACTTGCTTGCACGCAAACGTACGTACGCACACATACTCACACACGCACACACAGTCGTCCGTACACCAAGGAGCAACAATCCCCAGCTGGGGGTTATTAAATTGATATTCATAGTCCACTTCAGAACATCTTGAAGAGATGACAGTAATGCTGAAGAAGAGCTTTTTCAATACAAAACAACATTTCCATTGCACATCGCAATGCTCAGAGCAGGGCGATAGCTTCTCGGGCTGAATTCTGCATCTCCCAACATCTTTCTTGGTCCTTCACTGTACATGTTATACAACAGGACCAACAGTAACACAGAGCTACTGGAGGTCATTGAAGATTTCCAAGGACTTTCTTCTGATTCTGTTTCTACCTGCAGTCTTACAAAGAAAGGCTATGAAAATATCTTTATAAACTCAGCGAGGGGGGCAGAGGCATCATGGGCAACAGACAGTTCCAGGGAGCCATGGCAACAGCAGACTCATAACATGAGTGTACAAAACATTAAGAACTCTTTCCATGACAGACTGACCAGGTGAATCCAGATGAAACCTATGATCCCTTATTGATGTCAATTGTTAAATCCACTTCAATCAGTGTAGATAAAGGGGAGGAGACAGGTTAAAGAAGGATTTTTAAGCCTTGAGACAATTGAGACATGGATTGTGTATGTGTGCCATTCAGAGCGTGAATAGGCAAGACAAAAGATTTAAGTGCCTTTGAATGGGGTATGGTAGTAGGTGCCAGGCTCACCGGTTTGAGCGTGTCAAGAACTGCAACGCTGCTGGATTTCACGCTCAACAGTTTCCCATGTGTATCAAGAATGGTCCACCACCCAAAGGACATCCAGCCAACTTGACACGACGATGGAAAGCATTGGAGTCAACATGAGCCAGCATCGCTGTGGATTGCTTTCGATACCTTGTAGAGTCCATGCCCCGATGACTTGAGGCTGTTCTGAGGGCAAAAGGGGGTGCAACTCAATATTAGGAAGATGTTCCTAATGTTTTGTATACTCAGTGTAATAGCTGCTCTGCATCAGGCTGCGACGCCACGGAGAATAGAGAGATCAACACAACCAGAGAGAGAATAGAGAGATCAACACAACCAGAGAGAGAATAGAGAGATCAACACAACCAGAGAGAAGAGAGATCAACACAACCAGAGAGAGAATAGAGAGATCAACACAACCAGAGAGAGAGAATAGAGAGATCAACACAACCAGAGAGAGAATAGAGAGATCAACACAACCAGAGAGAAGAGAGATCAACACAACCAGAGAGAGAATAGAGAGATCAACACAACCAGAGAGAGAGAATAGAGAGATCAACACAACCAGAGAGAGAATAGAGAGATCAACACAACCAGAGAGAGAATAGAGAGATCAACACAACCAGAGAGAGAGAATAGAGAGATCAACACAACCAGAGAGAGAATAGAGAGATCAACACAACCAGAGAGAAGAGAGATCAACACAACCAGAGAGAGAGAATAGAGAGATCAACACAACCAGAGAGAGAATAGAGAGATCAACACAACCAGAGAGAGAATAGAGAGAATAGAGAGTTCAACACAACCAGAGAGAGAATAGAGAGATCAACACAACCAGAGAGAAGAGAGATCAACACAACCAGAGAGAGAATAGAGAGATCAACAAAACCAGAGAGAGAATAGAGAGATCAACACAACCAGAGAGAGAATAGAGAGATTAACACAACCAGAGAGAGAATAGAGAGATCAACACAACCAGAGAGAGAGAATAGAGATATCAACACAACCAGAGAGAGAATAGAGACAGATATGGAGGGATGATGAGAGGAAGGCAGAGAGGTCATCTTTAGAAAGGCTGTTCTCATCTCACTCTGCACAGAGGAGAGCAGAGAACAACACCTCTGGCTGCTGGGAGTCTGAAGGGTGTTTATCCTCCTCTACCCCCTCCATCATCAGTCCAACTCTATAAACCAGACCCCCCTCCTCAAACCCAACCCAACGCCTCTCCACCTCAACCCAGCGTCCTTAGCTCCAGCCTCAACCCCACCTCCAGGAGGATTATTCAGGCCTACACGGCCGTGCTGCGACCCAGCAGAGGGAAGGCCGTGGGCAGGCCACAGCTCTGCTCTAGCCCCCTGAGCCCCTGGATACTTCTCAGCCCCAGCTCTGGCTGTGTGTGAGTCCGGCCCTCGCGGGGCATGGTAGCGGTGGCCTGGGCCTGCAGGGAGAGGGGCTCCGTGGGGAGGGTGTTGTGGTTGAGGTCCATGGTGGAGAGCAGGTGCCCCAGGGAGTCCCAGCGTCGGGCGGTGGGCAGGCGGATCAGGGAGGAGTAGCCCCGCTCAGAGAACACCGTGACGGGGGGGGTCTTGGCGGTCTCAGGCTCCTGCTGCTCCAGCCTGGAGGTCCGGGAGGCAGGCTTTGTGTTGGTGCCCCCCTGGCTGTCAGCCAGCACCTCACAGTAGGGAGGAGGGGGGTCTTCCATTAGAACAGCCTCCTCATAGCAGGGGGGCTTTCCAAACACGTCCGTCTCTGGGGAGGAAACAGACAAACATACAGTATGTTAGTTTCCCCTTTACAATGTAAAGTGCAGTTAGCATTGGAAAAGCTTAATATAAACCAAATCCATCATTATTATCAAATGCCACTTTACCATGGACACAGTCAGATTGGGCCATGATATTGTCAGTGTTTAGGTCTAAAGGTAGACCTTAGGGATCCTGTGGTATAAGGTTGTGTGGGTGATTATCATTGCTAAACTGACTCCTGCTGGCTATTACATAACGTTAATGTAGCAGTAGCTCCACTGACGCCTCAGTCAGCTCAGATGGCTGACTATACATCTAAAGTTACTGATACCACTGCCAAGTCCACCTCCTACACTGACAACTCTGCCTTTAAACTGTGAATCATGTGGAACACAGGTTGAGCGGTGAGCGTTCCATTGATGAGTACCGTAGCCGACAATAAAGGCTTCTTTGATGACTCAATTCGGACTCTGTGCATTTTATAGTGCTGAATGGCTTCACACACGTACACGCATGCACACACACACAGTGTGAAGAGAGCTTAATGACATATTTGTTTTGACAGGAACACTCAAGCCAGTAGGAGGCTAATTTACTGATGTATTCAGCACAATCATCTGGATTCACTCCCTTCAAAGCTCACAAAGAGAAAACCCACAGGAACAGAACAGGTGGGACACAGAGAGAGGGATCAGTAAAAGATGGAATGAGAGTAGAGGAGAGCGGGTAGATAGACTTGTGTCTGATTCGCACTGTAGGGCCGAACCGAGCCAAGCCAAGCCAAGCCAGTACTAGTGTTCAGGGTGCCCAGTGTGAATCAGACAATGAATTCTGAAAGCACTGTGCATTTCTCTTCAGGGGAAACAAATCATTGAGAGCTTTGGACTATAAGGTTCTATCTGCATTTTTGTCCAAATTGAGTTATTGTTCTGTTTAATGTTCTCTACCCATATAGTCCTCTAAATACCCCAATTCATGTTGTTAATTAAGTTCAAAAGAATATAAGATATAAATTGCTGACACCATTTAAACAGATAAGGGTTCGGAACTTTCTTTTTGTAGATAGAACCTTATAGTCCCCAGCACTCGTCATGTCGATTGTAATGAATATATCATCAATATATCATTGTTTTGGGCTTTTGATCATCTCAGAATATAGAACATTTCTTTTATCTCTGTTTTTTCTATCTTTGAAAGCAGGTATCATTGCAATTGACACATAAAACATAGTAAGCATGCTTTGATGTGACAAACAGTCAGGAAGCATGAGGCAATAACATCAAAGCTGTAAAATAGTTGTGATAGTGGGCGGTAAAGTACATTCAGCTGTATGAAGTGTTGTTGTGAACGCATGTTCACGCCCCTAGGGTTTGCCATATAGGGACGACTTCCTTTCGAATTACGTTGTGTGAGGTTACTACTGTTATAGGTAATTCACGCCTGGAAACTCTGATACACTTGTGGTTTGAACAAGAGAATACAGGTCAGAGATAAGGATGTGGAGCAAACAGTAATATCTCCTTAGACTCTGACTACTCGGTGATGAATCCGGAGGGTTGTAATGTAGCTGGCTAGGCTAATAACAATGACACACCCTCTGACCACACCTCTAGAGTGCTTTGTTTGTAGTGCTTTGACAGTGTTACTTCCTCCAGTGTGGAAACCCAGGCTGATAAAGGGAGAGGTACTACTAGTCATAAACTCAATTTCCCAGCCCCCATCTCTTTCAAAGACTACCCACAGTCTGTCTATACTATATAATGGGAGAACCTCAATTGCATACTCCTCTTGTCCGCTCTCCTCGCCTCCTCAAAACCCACTGGAGGAGAAGGTCAGATAGGAGGGACCCTTGGCTTTCTCATCCAATCGGTTTGAAGAAGGAGGCGAGGAGAGAGGATGCGAGGAGTATGCAATTGAGATTCTCCCTATATATTCCAGGGAGCCATACCACTTTGCACTTCAGAGTGTTTTCCAATGGAAGAAATGTTGCTGCTCTCTAAAACCACGACAACTGGTTGATGTCAAGGATATGGAACGTGTGATATGGAAATTCTACACAGCATGTGTTGAAGTGTTGTCATGGTGGCACTGATCCGCTATGTATGTACTGTACATGCCTGTATGAGTCCACATATCCACAACCAATTACACTATAGTTATTATGATCTCTTTTTCCACCACACGTTCATAACGCCCTGCTCTGGTCCCTGTTGTAATATTAGCCCCAGCCTCTATATGTATGAATAAACATTACTTCCATACAGTAACAATGGAGGCTCAGAGCACTGGGAGATGAAAGGAGTGTTTCATGTGCTGCGCCAGGCGGCTGTTTGTTTCCAGTGACAGCAATGCCTCCAAACCTAGAGAGGGCCACAGGTGCAGAGGGCTGGCAGGGCTTTGGAGGGTGGTGGAAGGGGGAAGGGGGGGACATGGCTCAGGGACAGCCCAGAGTGGAGCCACCTCCTCTGGGGACAGGATTGCTAATCTCAGCCTCCGTGACCCTGGGGGTCTGGGGCCCACATCTGCCGCCAAGGACAGCCCCTATGATGCAAGCACAGCAGCAGCTGCAGGGAGGAAGGTTTTATTGGAAAAAGCCCTCTCCAATGCTGGAGACCTATGGATCTCACCATGAGGAAATGGCAATAAAAAATGTAAATTAAGCATGTTCAATTACATTTATAAAATGTATGAACGCCAGCTGTGCCTTTGCATATCAATTATTTTGTAGCCATTTTATGTTCTGGAGCTATAATGTCATTTGGGGGAGGGTATCCCCATTTTTCTACCACTCTGAGGTGCACCCCTTAACCAGCCTGTCCTTGCTGCCTTGGTACTGAGTTCCTCTGTCTGGCTGTTGTGCTTGCTAGCCCTCTATCTATTTCAATGGCTGCTGCTAGCCTACCTTTCACTCCATTGACTGACTGTCACGCCGTTAGCGCCTACTAAGTGTCGAGCTGCTAGCAGTCTCTGTCATTGCGCTGGCTGCTGTGCTGCTAACTCTGCCACTGCTCTGCCCACGCATCGCCTACGCTACAGCGCTAACTGTCACCATGTCACCCATGAAGGAAGGCAGCTACAGATACAATGAGAGCTTACAGCAAAAAACCTTCAGAGTCACTGCTGTCATGGCTGTAGCATGTAATGTACATAAAACTGCAGGTGTCTCCTGAGTTATGCTCTTTGTGTGTTTATATTGCATTCATATTGAACTGGAAAAGGAGCTGTAAAGAGGTTGCATGGTAAACATGAGCAACAAAGAGCTAAAAGGTTTAAGTGTGTATGATTCAAAGTACTGCAGTCTAATCTTAATTAGTCATAGTGTGTGTGTGTGTGTGTGTGTGTGTGTGTGTGTGTGTGTGTGTGTGTGTGTGTGTGTGTGCATCTGTATCTGTGTGGTAGAATATTCAAAGCAGTATAAAGAAAAGTACTGTATCGGTACATTACCTTGAGGGGAGGCCCAGCTGCCCTGTGGGAGGGAGTGAGGAATGTGCAGCGGAGGGGAGAGGGTCAGCGGGGGGCAGAAATGGAGGGGCTCTCTGGAGGGGGGGTACCCAGCCAACCCCCCTGGGCCCAGGCACTCCAGTGGCTCCATCTCCAGGGCCCTCAGACACTGCTCCCTCAGCCTCTCCTCCCTCCTCCTCTTCAGACGCCGCTGGATGAAGCTACAGAAGCAGCACAGCATGACGATGAGAGCCCACACCAGCCAGAACCCAGCAAAGCAGGCCAGGAAAGTGTATGTGCCCTGGGACATCACCATGGTGATGACAAACTAGTTGACTTGGCGCTACCGAGGTGCGTGAAATGAGGAGCCAACTGGACTTGGGAAGATACGTTAAATCAAATAGCACTGACTGTCACTGAGGAGACAGGGGAGAACATTCAAGTTAAAGATAGGGCTCCAGTCTCCAGGGGAGTTTGGTTGAATGTGTAGTCTTCTGTTGAGTTGTAGTCCACTTATATCAGTGTGACAGCTGACGTCTCAGATCAGCCCTGATAACAGTGTACATGATCCCTGCTAAAATGACCGGCTGTCCATTGTCCTCATACCCACACAACAACACCCACACTGTCTCAGAGGCCCTTCTCTAGTCCAAAGGCCAGGTGTGATCAGTTGTTTTCCAGCCTGCAGGTCACTGCAGATCAGATGTTCTATGGTTCTTCACAGGTAGAACAAGGTGATCTACATTCTCCCTGCAGTCTCAATGCAAAACTCAATCTAAATCACATCCACTGTCCAGGTATCCTGAAAAAACTCAGCTTAAGGAAACTGATCACAAAAAAACACAGAGCACTGCTCCTCCTTCCCACTGAGATTGAAGGCCTGCTCTTCTCCCCAGCAGGCAGACTGAGAGGGCCCTCTGAGGGGTGAGGTCTGGGTAGGAGTCAGGCAGAGCAGCGCCACGTGACGCCCCCGGTCCGTCCCACAGCTGCCTCCTCCAGGACACAGGGCCCAGGGGTTCCGTGCACTCCTGTGGGGTTCTGAGCGGTTCCGTGGGGTTCCACTTGGTTCCGGGTCCCCCCTCTGGCACGCTGATCCCCAGACGATGGGTTCCGATGGGTTCCGGCACCTCAGAACTCCAGAGGACTCCCGACGTCACGCTGCTCAACAAAGAGAGAGGGGGAGGAGAGAGGGCAGAGGGGACCATCATTATCAATTATGAAATACGCAATTATTTTTAAACATGGAACTGCAATATCAGAAACATGGATGTGGACCTGTCTGGTAAGTGATCTCGAATGTTCAAGCATCATTATGATGGTGACCTCAGGGGGTGAGTATCAGTTTCACACATCAGAGAGGAAGGAGCAGAACCCTACATGGATCTCATGGGGAAAACAGGGCCCTTTGTGTGTGCCCCAATACTGCTGACCTCAACATAGCGGGTCACTCTCTGTCCCCACATGTCACACCCACACTCAGGGGTGCACTAGCTGGGACAGTACTCCATGGAATCATTGGACCTGACCAGAAATCATAGGTATAACTAGGGCATGATGTTTTTCCCAAACAGGAAATATACTATATACTGAATCTTATAGAATGAGCTGTTGTTGCTGTTGTTGATATCTCTAGTAAACACGCTAGTCGTGCCGCTCTCCTCCCTATCACATCGTCACATCAGAGCATTTGTAATCACGTCCAGGCCTTGGCCTCCATACACCACACAATAATTACACTAGACTCAGGCTGGATTCTAATCGTCATGACTTTCTTAGAGGTGGATACATTCCTTCCTTTACAGGTCATTGGCCTTGTTCTTTTATCTTGTATATCTCTGACGAATATCATAATTTAACACCCAGAGGTGGCATAATGCATGTCATTTGAGAAATGGATGGATGACTTATAGAATGGTGGTTAGGAAGGAGAAAGGAAAGAGAGTGATTCCCTCACAACATCCCCAAACCTATGGAAGTGTCTGTTGTTGTTGTTGTTGGTGTCCCTTTCACTGATGCTACTACCTGGCCTACCTCCTGCCTTTGACTCATCATGGTCATGGTCATGGATAGGGCTGGAGTAAGAAGCTGTGGTTTGGTTTGGTAAGGTTACACCACTCTACCCCAAGCTTCCTAGATTCCCCTACTTAATCTCTCCTCTTACCTCCTTCTCCTCAGGTATCTTATTGGAGGGTGACTGTGACACAAGCTGTCATCACATTTCACTTAATGTACGGCATGACTACTCCAATCTCAGCGTGTGTGCCTGCCCCCTTCCTGCCCTGGTGCAATATACACAAGCGTTAATGGCTGATAGGCTGATAGACTCCTATATTACCCATATGAGTCACGCACTGTAAAGCATCTACACCTATTCTCATGTAATCACCCAACACAGCTGTTCACTGAAACCCCTATTATGATTCTGCATATTTTTTTAGGTTAGACTATTCACTGATTATTACATTGTAGTAGCCTAATACTGTTATATATTGATACCTATTACATATTGATATACAGTACACAAGAACATTCATGAAAATGCATTATATTCAATATCAAACATCCCACAAAAAAGGCAAATATTTAGAGGTTTATTAATTTGGAGGTAATAATATGCAGATGTCCATGCTTTGAGAAACCACCTGATGCCAACATAAACAGCTTTCCTATTCACTGATGCTCTCCTTGCTCTCCTCTGTACACTGTACAAAGTCAACTAAATTTGCTAAATTTGTTGAGTTGACATAAAATGTTACGTTGAGTTGCTTTCAACTCACTCAAAATGTAAAAACGTATGAAATCAAATTGAGTTAGCAAAAAACAATGTGTTTACTCAACTTAGGAATTCACAACCATAAAGTCAATTAACTAAAGGGAAAGGGAAAGTGGATACCTAGTCAGCTGCACAACTGAATGCATTCAACTGAAATGTGTCTTCCACATTTAACCCAACCCCTCTGAATCAGAGGTGCGGGGGGCCGCCTTAATCGACGTCCACATCATCGGCGCCCTGAACAGTAGTCCAGGTGAGACAAAACTAGAGCCTGTAGGACCTGCCTTGTTGATAGTGTTGTTAAAAAGGCAGAGCAGCACTTTATCTTAGCTACTGTTGTATCAACCTGTTTTGACCATGACAGTTTACAATCCAGGGTTACTCCAAGCAGTTTAGTCACCTTAACTTGCTCAATTTCCACATTATTTATTACAAGATTTAGTTGAGGTTTAGGGTTTAGTGAATGATTTGTCCCAAATACAATGCTTTTAGTTTTTGAAATATTTATGACTAACTTATTCCTTGCCACCCATTCTGAAACTAACTGCAGTTCTTTGTTAAGTGTTGCAGTAATTTCACTCGCTGTAGTAGCTGACGTGTAAGGGTTGGGGTGAGGTGTGACCCAGGTGCAGGATATACAGTAGGCAGTAGGCAGAGATGGTGAAACAAGGATCTTTACTGTTGGTCCCGAAGCCAAAATACAAAATAACGGACTTATCACAATAAAAGAAAGGCGGAGCAATTAAGTCTCCAAAAACCGGTTGACAGCCAAAATACGAAATACTACCTAAGACTGAAACAAATAACGAAACAGGGAGAACACTTCTCAAGTACCTGTACATAGATCTCCGATCAAACACTGAGTAGTACTGCTGGACATAGAGAAACTAGCAGAGAAAACTGAGCAAGGGTACACAGGGAAGTGAGGGCATAAATACACAGGTGAACCGATAGACACAGGTGACACCAATAGGATGATGATTAGTCCCGACTGTGAGTGAGGAGGTGCCTAAGGTTGTCGGAGGTTGACACTTAGTGGGTCGCTCCGGAACTGCAACCCCCTCCTGTAACACTGACGTGTATAGTGTTGAGTCATCCGCATACATAGACACACTGGCTTTACTCAAGGCCAGTGGCAGGTCATTAGTAAAGATTGAAAAAAGGAAGGGGTCTAGACAGCTGCCCTGGGGAATTCCTGATTCTACCTGGATTATGTTGGAGATGCTTCCATTAAAGAACCCCCTCTGTGTTGTGTTAGACAGGTAACTCTTTATCCACAATATAGCAGGGGGTGTAAAGCCATAACACATACATTTTTCCATCAGCAGATTACGATCGATAATGTCAAAAGCCGCACTGAAGTCTTACAAAACATCTCCCACAATCTTCTTAAATGTTAAGGCATCTGGTAACAAACTTTGGTAAATTGAAAAAAACGAACAGTTTCGTTTTTCTGACTAGCAAATACTTGTCCTCTCCTCTTAGGAATTTGTCAAAACCACTTGTGTAGCTTTGTTAGCACAACAACAAAAAATCAGTTGAAGCACATATCATGTTCACTCAACAAGTTATTCAATTCAAATTTGTCAGTTCCACTTACTTTACTAGGTTGAAGTAACTTTTATTAAATTAACTCCACAAGTAATCCGGATTGGATTTAACATTACATTTTAAATCAGCCTGGTAACAAACTTTTGTAAATTGAATCAACAAATATTTGTTTTACAGTGTAGACACTGGAGAACCGAAAATGTACACTCACACTTTACATTTTCTGTATAATCTATCTGGGAATGATAATGTCAGTGCTAAACCTCACCAAAACGCATACGAGATGGACAATTAAAATTACGCAACACTTGTGACATAAAAACCTAATTGTATATTTTTTTCGCATGCGCACCTGATGAATGTCAGGTTGGGAGACAGACCCCATTTCCATAAAATCTGACCATGAAAATGTCAATACAATTCGTTGTTTACCTTTGTTGCAAGGACGTCTCCTTGCTTCCTGATGGGTCAGATACACGACTCGCTCCGTTCCAATGAAATGTCAGCTGAGCGCACAGTTTATGACAGCAAGGTGTTTCATTTGTATCAATGAAGTAAATACAGTATCATAAAGTCTTTGTTATGTTGCCTTGACCGCAAGTGAGTGATGCTACGCCTCCGTTCCACGCTAACTTCCTCTGGTTTCTTGGTATCGCCTTTAATGAACGATGTGCGGCAATCACGAGCGCGGTGTCGTGTTTAGTAATGAGGTCTAGATTATACCGTAGACTGTAAACTACATTCACCTTGGCAACCTGGCTCCTCCCTTCCTATCTATTTGTCGTATAGACAGTCAATCTCTTCTCCTCATGTCCCTCCATCGTAATCATCGTGACCCACACAATCAATGCAGATAGGGGTATTCCAAGGACGCACGACACAAGTGCGTAATTGTTGTTGCATTGTGGCTGAGCGGAAAGCGCACAAGTAGGCTACATTGAAAAGGTTATAGTTTCATCTTTGATATAGCAGCGTATGATTATGTATCTTTT